CAGGACAAGTGTCAAACAGTTGCTAAAATTCTGCAGAGTCGGTCAGTAGGGTTTAAGACAGTTGCATGCATTGCGCTGTTCAGTAGCGCCCGTAGTAAAAAAGTTAAGTCCTTCGAAGCTCATTACACCCTGGGCGCACATGGCCTCACCAATGGCGACGGAGGATTGTGTGCATTTACTCCCCAAATAACCGTCACGATCACAGAGTGATTGGTCATATGGACAGCACAGACAGCATGAGACAGCTGCGACGAGTTCGGCTCATCAGTGGGTCCCCCAGCCTTCTCTGTGTCCTTTCAGGTGTACAAACTGCATTTCCAATGCTAAAAAATCGGATATGAGTCACAACTCTTTCAGAACAAAGTGTTTTGGGCTCGCTTTAGCTTGGCACATTAGTTTCCAAGAAAGGGCAGGAATAAAACTGGAGGTGACATAGTAGAAAGCAGCACAAGATCGGCGAAAAACGCGTGGCTGGACACTTAGTTCCTCTACAATTAAGATGGTAAGTAATTTAGTGATGAATTGGAACCGAGAAATACAAGGGAGACTGGAATGGTCATTTTTGGCTAATTAGCCGACATCAGCCAGTCATACCCAATCCCAGGAGTGGCGCCCCCGGTATTCGAACCCGGGACCATTCAGTGCAAAAACCTACCATTACACCGTGAGCCTGTGAGGGCTCCAGCTCCAGGGCAAACCGGGACCAGCATGTTTCGAAACCAGATCAGATAATTAAGTATTTTTATACTACTGGCTGCCTTTTGAAGGCTTGCAAATATTATGCGGTCATTCCGCGTGACTTTAACTTAAATATCCAGCAGTGACTTTAACAGCAAACTTAAAAAACTTTGTTCTGAAGGATTTGCTAACTTCTCGCATTCATTTCCGGAAAAATCTAACGAGGACAAATGTCAGCATTGAAGGTGGGCGTCGTTTGATATATATGCAATACAGACACCAAATATGATTATAAAGGCGTCTCAGAGAGGCTATCTTCTTCCCTCTCCTCTGCCTTCACAAGTATATAACCTCCGGCTAAGAAAACGTCAAAACAAAGAAACGGAAACGGGAATTGAGAGAAAGAATAAAAGCGACAGGCAGAATGGATAACAGTGGAAGTACGCTAGGGCAGCAAGTATTTCCGGGAGTACCTACACGCCCTTCAGCCAATCACTGTTCCGCACAAGAAGATAAACGGATCGGTTTGCGCTCAATGCTGCGTGGATATAAATGGCTCATCTGCCCCGGAGAATACTGACGACTTTCGGTCAGATCCCACTACCTAAGTGTGTAACAGTTTACTACGGAAACCAAAAACTCCCACGATCCTGTGATACGTGGCCGACGGTAATGATAATATTATTTGATTAACTTATTTATTTTGTTAAATTTACTACTTATTATTTTCCAGTTATCGCACGTTTTGTCGTTGCTATATATTTGCT